CTGTCCGGACTTTCAGTAAAACGCACATAACTAGGGTGACAGCATAACCCACGTGTGCAATTTAATACAGAACAGTCCAGCCTTTAAGACGCTACAGCTCCGACACACAGACAGACAGGATGACTGATAATCTCCTAGATCGGAGATCCAATAATAAACTAATTTATTAACAAGCCGGCGCCCAGGATCTCCGCTGATAGGGGCGCGCACTAATGCAACCGGTTACTATCCATATAAACCTGCGGATCTATAACAGCAGCGTGATTTAGTGAGCGGGTTACCAAAACTGCCAGTTCTTTTTAGATCTGCGCCTTCTCGCGTGAGTAAAATCTCTAAGGCTTTTCCAGTTGATGAAGTATCGAGACAAAAGACGACTTGTTCAAAAGAGTATTTTCTTCTGCAGAAGGTAGCGTTATCGGAATTTCAATTTCATAACGATCGGCGCGATTTTTCGTTGTTGCCATGGAAACCAAACTCCAATCCGGACTTTCTAGAAAACACACTTTACTAGGGTGACAAGATAACCCACGCGTGAAATTTCATCCAGATCGGTCCAGTCATTAAGACGCTAGAGCAGTGTTTCCCAACCCGAGTCCGCGGTCTTAAATGAGTCCGCGGAGCGTTTGAATGAGTCCGCGAGACTTTAGTATCAACCACGTTACGATTTATGTTAGAATATACATAAAACATAAAAAGCAAGTTTAGTCACATAACATTAATCGAGTCAATAATTACTGGTTACTGAGTAGGGCTGGGCATATATTCGAATAGTAAACTATTAGAATAGCAATTTACTACTGGAAAATTTGGTAACAGGTGGCGCGACAGGTCACTTGCGCTTAATCAGACGATTGAATTTCACAACTCACTTGCGGATTTTCGACGAAAACACGAGTCTGCACACGGTTCGATAGATACCTCAGTGGTGTTTCTCGCGAGTTCGAACAACGAGGAATAATTTTTTTTTTCTGGTAGATGTCAATGGTGGCCAGGCAAATTTTTTAAATTGAAAAGCGGCAATACAAAATAATAAAAATAAAAGGGAGAACACCATGAGTTTTGTTTTATGATGGTCCGCGACCGAATTAAAAGCGCTTTTTTAGACATTGCAAATCCGCAATTTTCGGATGCTACCGTACCAGGACATTTCCCTTAGGATTCTTTGCTTTACTGCCTCCCACATTGGTAGTACACTACTGCCGTGGATGTTGTACGAACAGCTCAGAATTGTCGAATTCACAAAAATGCGAATCAAAACAAAATATAATCGGGCCCTTTACCACGCATTTTTGCGTTCACGGATTGTCATCATATTTTCAGAGTAGTATTGCTTTTATTTCGTTAACACAACCGCAGATTAAAAAGCTCACAATTAAAATTAATAATAAAGCAAGGCAATGAATATGTATGTTGATTTACTAGTATACTTTAAATATTACTTTTTATAAGTACTGCATCAAGTTGTACTTTCTGGAAATTTATAACAGATACTAGGATTTTTTTCTAACGGCGATAACAAATTCGCAAGATCGCAAAAAATATGTATCAAAACTAAATATATATGATCGGGCAATATATTCTCACATTATTATGTTCACAGATCGCCGTTGCATTTCAGAGAAGTAATGCTTTCATCTTGTCGTCGACGCAACCGCGAGTTACCATGAACACAATTAAATTAAAAGAGAAAGACATTTTAAATTCTCGTCGTTTTCGTGGATTGAATTTTGTTCGACAGAAAGGGCCATTGTTGAAATTCGTTAAAATTCAGTTGTTTTTGCTTTTATTGCTCCTTCACACAGAGTACGGTTGCAATAAACGCACCTTGAGTCCGCAAAGGTTTTCGCCGATGAGAAAATAGTCCGCGACCAAAAAAGGTTGGGAAATGCTGCGCTAGAGCCTGACACACAGGAAGACAGAACGACTGGCGGTATGGTCCTGGTATATTAATGCCACAAAGAAGTTCTTCCTTGAAATCCCTTTCTCAAAAAAAAATATTTTAAAAAATATTTTGATTGGTTTTTGCATTGATTGGAACAATGGCGACTTCTTCACCTTTTCTCAAAGATGCCTGCCTACATCCCTTACCATATCTTCAATTATTCGCGGAATTAAGAGTTCTATGCCTTCGATTTCCAAACTGCAATAAAACTCCAAATCTCTTTAGCTGCAGACAGGATTCGTGTCTTTAAATCTTCTTGAGCTTTATCCGTTTTTTCTTTAGTTATTAGAATTTAAATGTCATGTATTGAAAATTTTTTTTTGCAATCGTCACTTTTCCCATTTGCATTATTTCTAATTTTAAGATTATTACCCGTTACCCGTGATCTTAATTGTGAAAATTTTATTGCAGTGAACGAGTCTGTTCCTTGCGACGTAGTCGAATATACGCACATACTTCACTACCATTCTCATCTGAAGTTAAGGGGCACGAGATCCATTGTCCTCAAGTCATTGATGATAAGCTTTTCAACTTTTGTTCAAAATACTAATAATTTGTCTCTGACATGGTATATTAGAACTACCGAGTCTACGAGTTTTGTTACATTGTTTCATGGCTATCATTTCCTAATGATTGTAATTTTTTTTGACTAGGGTGCATGTGACTCATTGTTAACCTCACAAATATCTAATTAGGTTTCAACTGCTTCTCGCACCGATTAGTAATTTATGGTTATACCAACAGCAATCAGACTGAGACAGAAAATCACAATTGTAAAATGCAGTTAAATATCCCTCACGGGGCTAGTGAAACAAGTAATCGCCGAATATGAAAAAAAAACATCGCCGCAAACGATTCGTCCGTCTGAAGAGACTGATTAATCAACTTGTGGTTTTATTTACATTTAGTGATGGTGTTATTTACTGTATCTGCAAGAGTGAGTTAAAGCTCATCTAAATGAAAATGTACAGAATGTATGTACAGAACCAACATACTCTTCATGACCTTTCTCGGGCAAACGATCACGCGTTTTAACTTGGTATTCCCTAAAATTGCGAATGCACGGGTTACGTGATATATTTCAGTGGTAGAGCATTCGACTGCTGATCGAGAGGTCCCTGGTTCAAATATTGGTGCCCTCTTTACTGATAGTTTAAATTTTAACAATACTAGGGGGGCAACGGAATTAAAAATTGCCAAATAAAAAATCTTTGCCTCACACAAATCTTCCTTCGGACTGAACTGATTAATCAGCGTGTTTTTGTGCTGAACTTTGGTGTTATTTCTCGTAACAACCAGGATGAGTGCCACAGTTTTGTGGTGAATTGCAACGCAAGTAATTATCTTACTCGGACAATCACGCGTGAGAGATCTGAAAATACAAACGGCAAACACATGTAAAGCAATATTTATCAAAGTTCTCTCGAGGCTAGGTCTGGGGACGTAGCTCAGTGGTAGAGCACTCGACCGCTGGACGGGAGCTCCCTGGCTTAATCCCAGTTGTCTCCTTACCTTTAATTAGATAAATTTATCTTGCGCTCATCGTGCAGCCTTGCGTTTATTGTCGACTGGAACGAATCCAGATGTATCTATTTCGTGTCGGTTTTATATTTCAAATTCAAATCCAATGGAGCATTTTAGATTAACTCGGAGAGTCCATATTAAAATGCTGTTAGTGTCTTCTGCATTAAAAGCATATGTACCGAACGTTTCGTTTTACATATTGTCTCAATTGTTCGACTTCTTTTGTATTCGATGAAATGTTACTATTTCTGCAACATTTGTATCTAAATCATGCAATTAGATTATCGACAAACAAAGCGCCACTTCCAGCAATTGTGTTTATTACTGAAGCATTTGTATTTGAACTTACAAATAGCACACCAATCAATATGGGATTAGCCATTACCTATGTTTTAGAACAGCGTTTCCCAACCTTTTTTGGTCGGGGACTGTTTTCTCATAGGCGAAAACCTTTGTGGACTCAAGGAGCGTTTATTGCAAGTTTGCAACCGTACTCTGTGTAAAGAAGCAATAAAACCAAACACAACATTAAAATTTCAAAATCGGAAATTCGCCACAATTACGCGCTCGTTAAAAGAATTCACTTTTTCAGTGTATAATGGCCGTTTCGGTCGCACAATATTCAGTACATGACAACGACGAGAATTTAAAATGTCTTTCTATTTTAATTTAATTGTGTTCATGGTAACTCGCGGTTTCGTCGACTTACGACAAGCTGAAAGCATTACTTCTTTAAAATGCCACGGCAATTTGCGAACATAATAATGTGAAAATATATTGCTCTAGTATATTTAGTTTTGGTACATATTTTTTTCGATCTTCCGAATTTGTTATCGCTGTTAGAAAAACCCTACTTTCTGCTATAAAGTTCTAGAAAGTACAACTTGATTTAGTACTTATTAAAAATATATTTAATGTTTATTAGTAAATCAAAAATAGCCTACATATTCATCGCCTTGCTTTACTATTGAGTTAATTGTGATGATTTTGATTTGCAATTGTGTTGACGAAATAAAAGCAATACTACTCAAGAAAATATCAAGTGGTAAAGTGCCCGAATATATTTCGTTTTGATTCGTATTATTGTGAATTCTTATGGTGTTATCCGTTTTTTTTTAGTATTTTGTATGGCCGCTTTTCAATTTAGAAAATTTGTGTTGCCACCATTACCACCTAGGCACTTACCAAAAAAAAAATTATTCCTCGTTGTTCGAACTCGCGAACTCTATCGAAACGTGTTCGACTTTTCGTCGAAAATCCGCAAGTGAGTTGTGAAATCCAATCGTTTGATTAGGCGACGCGCACCTGTTACCAAATTTTCGAATAGTGAATTGCTATTCTAATAGTAGAATATTCGAATATATGTCCAGTCCTACTCATTAACCAGTAATTATTATTGATTGCAGATTGCTTTAAAGTAAGTCTTTTCGAACAAATCCCCAATTTCTGTACATTATTGAATTATTTACTAGGCGTTTATAAGCCACAAAATAGTTCTTTTTTTATGTTTACTGGTTGAATCCGTTTTTTTAAATTAGTGAATGAAGTTCAGGGTGAGTACGGCAAAATTTTTGACATTTTCATCCACGTAGAGATTTTGTTTCAGTTCCAGAAGATGGTCGATACCTTGCTCTTCGATCAGCATTTCTTTGTAAGTTTCCGCTGAAAATTGTTATGTCATATATATATATATATATAAATATTCATTGTGGAAACGCACACATTGTGGAAAATGTAGGCTAATAATGTAAATAGAGTACAAAGTACAATAAATTAACGATGCAGATTTAAAACTTAAAAAAAAACCTGCCTTTACGTGAATCTGAACAGCACTTTGATATGGTCCAAACAGCAAATAATTGGAGTGGTGGCGCGTCGTATCTTTGAAGAAGTGAATAGAAAGGCTTGAATGATACGAAGTTGATTTGGTCACATATATTGATGCCCTTTGACCCCATTCCAGCACGCAATTATACTGCAGAAACAGATTTATCGTGATATTTTATCTTTTGTATGATATAAATTTCAAGACGAAGAAAACAATTAACATGACACTTCATGTCAAATAAGGCAAATACATAAACCAGGCAATACTGGCATTATTTGCAACCTAATTATTAGAACAATTTACCACATTTATCAGTGCCGTATTCCTTAGGTTAGGCCACTTCGTGAGTTTTTCCCATTCTCTGAAGTCGATTGTTAGCAAACGCGATATGACTGCAGCGAAAGATAGCTGATCTGCCAAATAAAAATTCGCATTGCTGGGGTGAAGTATTTGTTCAGGAACATAAACAATTATTAGTATTTTAAGCAAGCTGTATTTTAGTTTTAAATGTGATGTGACAATATAATTTGAATGTTATAAGCAATAATTTACTCATATGTATTTCATCTGAATTCATAAGTTTTAGTAGACACTCGACTGCCCCAGAGTTGCCGTCCAAGAAGTGATAGCATATTTCTGGTACATCCGTCAAATTGCTCTAAATCAATTACGCTGTGTAGGTTTTACTTTGTTAATCGCCATGTTTTAGATATTGCATGAAATAAACTATCTAAACAACCTAGGAAGCTACGATATATTTTCTCAATTTTACACTGATTAGCCTATCCGATAAACTAAGAAACTCAACGAAATGATCAGTCAGGTCAAATACACACATTATATGTGGTTAGGATAAAGATTGTTAGAAAGTAGAATAACGTTCAGTGCATTACCAAATTCATTAGCACTCTTTTATTTGATACGGGATCGTTATCCTGTAAAAACAAGACACAAGCAGTTAATATAGTACAGAACTCGGAACAATCCAGGATCGAATGACATGGAAAATTTCGAATTCTCAACGACAAAACTAGAAAATAGTTTAACAGGCCAAGCTGTAAATTTATCGGCAATTGTCGGTGATTTATCAAAATATAACATTCTGAAGATGTGTTGAAATTCAAATTAACACGTTTATAACTTGACTCTGATTTAAAAAACTGATTTAAAAAATTTAGTTGGTTCGAAATTTACTTTTTGATTCGTTATCTTCTCTTTCAGTAATTGTAGATATTATACCCCATACCATTTGACATAAAATGAGACATACCTCAAGCAACTGAGCAAAAACTGTTATCCCTCCTGCATTAACAATATTTGTACATGTTGAAGGAGTTTCAGCAGTTAGGTACGCCAGCAATGACAGCAAATTATAAAAAATGGCATCTCGGGACCTTGTGTTCATTTTCCTCCTCAGCATCAATAAGAGATTCTAGATGAAAAATTGTTTATTTCAACAAAGTTCTGTGTTGATGTAATTATTAATATTCTAAAAAAAACACTTAAAGACAATCAGAGTATACATTTATCATTAATATGTTTCAGTCAGTTTATGTTCAACAATATATTTTTATGAGAATATTTGATTATCGAAATAGTAGACGAATTGTATATTAATTGTTATATTATAAAAATATCATTGAAATTTTGGAATCTGGCAAGTCGCCTATATGACTAACGACAAAGGAATAAATATATACATACCTAATTAAATGATAGTTTAATAAAGAACCATTGCTCAATTTATCATATAGTTTATAATTGGAAAAGTATTATAATTGAAAATATTACAATTTTATCTAACATTCACACAAGTTTTCTAAATTACAATAAACCTCCACATATTTTTTGTTTCCGATACTGGCGATATCTGATTGTGACAGTTTTCTTGCTGATATATTAGTTAGAAATTCCACAAACTTCGATTCTAATTCATTTTTATTCGTAGTTAGAATTGTCATCAGCAGGTGTGCTAAGTTCAGGTAATTGAAGAACTGGAAAAGAAAATATCCACATGTCGGTAATCGCCGAATCGAAATTAATTTGTCGGATATCACAGATAGCATGGCAAAAAAATGAAATATATATTCTGACAGTCCCGCACTTATTGTTTTTAATAATTAACCGATATAACTAGGAATAAAACAATTGATATATACTTCAGCTATCACATATTCTATGAATTTTTGTATGGTTGAGCCCTTTTACGTTTATGTTGCATCAAACACTTTGAATCAGGGGCCGGCAACCTACGGCCCGTGGAGTAATATAATTCGTCCCAGGACGCTTCACTGAATATAGTAACAAAACAGCTGTTTTGACGATTATATTCCTTACGAACAGAATGTAATGTGAGACACGTGTAGACTAATTATATATAATCTAACGGGTATATAATTCACAATTACTCGTTTAATGCCTATAATTTAATTATAATTAGACAAATGGCGACAAAACGCAGAGGAGTTGATGCTGAGTGCAGTGGGTTCAAAGGCGCAGAAAATATTCAAATGAATTCTCTTGAGATGCAATGCAAGGAGGAAACAAATCTATACTTTATTCGAGGGATGTATCACTGCTTGATTTTTATTATAAAAAGTATCTTCTTCATAGAAAACTTTATCCAAATTGACAAACCGTGCGAAGAAATTCACATTCATGTTTTGAAGTACATATGCATGCTAACAAATATTTTCAAAAATCAACATTAGAAAGAAC